AAATGTTCCTCAAAGTCATGAGATACCAGGCTGGAGAGATGGCTCAGCCATTAAGAACACTGGCTGCTCTTCTAGAGGTCCTGAGCCCAATTCCCAGCAACCACATGTTGGCTCACAACCATCTATAGTGGGATCTGATGCCCTCTTCTGGCATAAAGTGTACATGCAGATAGAGCACATACAATAAATAAATAAATCTTTTAAAAAATGATTAAAAGCCATGAGATTTCAGTAACAGCCATTAACATGGTTACAAATAGTGGGGACAGTGTTAGTGAGGACAGAGAGTGTGTTACAGCTCTGCTGGGGGGTAGGTTCCCCAACGCAACTGTTACAGTTCTGAAGGGAAAGGTGTCCTTGCAGGGGAGCCAAGGAATACCACAAAGTCACACACACAACAAACCTCACACAAGAGATCCATTGGGAGAAAAAACCGAGGAAGGTGGCTGCCTCTGCTCAGGAGAGAAGCAGCAGAGAACAGAGCAAGATGACAGGGATTATATAGGGTTTCTTTGGGGGGGAGGGTGGAACTTTCCAGGGTGGGGATTGGTGGAATTTTGAGTCCTGAGCTTGGGGTGAGCCCAGGGATTGGTGGGATTTCAAGTCCAGGGACTGGTGAGTTTTCAAATCCCGAACTTCGGCTTTTTACTCTGTAGGGTGGAGCCTGGCCACCTGCATCTGGAGGGACTTAGTGGCTGGGTGTCCTCAGGGTTGGGTCCTGCATAGGGTCCCTGGAATTCTCACATTTGGCTAACGAGAACACACAACGGCCCTCAGGGAAACACTTGGAAGATTTCTGTAGAGTTACATATCCTCTCCTAGGAATTAAAAGAAATGAAAGTTGCATGTGGTAGAGTTTGCCTGTAGTCCCAGTACTGAGGAGGCTGAGGCAGGAGGATGACTATGAGTTTGAGATCAGTAAATTCAAGGCCAGTCTGGGCTAAATAATAAGATCCTCTCTCAAAAAATAAGAAAATGAAGCAAACAAAAGCATCCCTTTAAATGAGAACTATGTCTGACAACTCTCCTAATTATCCTAAGTGAGACTGTAATTGTGACGCATCCCTGCAACTCCAAGCACTCAGGAGGCTGAAGCAGGAGGGTTTTGAGTTCAATGCCACCATAGGCTAAATACCAAGAGACTGGCAGAGAGAAGGGGGGACGGGTAAACAACTCAAATTTCCTTCTAAAGTGAATAAAGTTATAATCATACTATGGACTATTACTGAGCAACGAAAAGGGAAGGAATACTGAAACACGGAACAGTTTAGACAGACCTCACAGGCACGAAAGAAGCCAGATTCAAAGCACCCACTGTCTGGTACTTTTTAAAGCGATTTTCCGGGAAAAGGCAAAACCAAAGCAACAAGGAACACACTGGTGATTTTCAAGGGTTACAGGTGGGCATGACATGTCTACAAGGCAGTGGCACTCAGGAGTTTGGGGAGGAAGGACTGTTGTGGACTCTGATCGGTAACGGCCACACTGGTTAGTGTATGTGTGAAATTACATAGAACGGTGCATTTCTTTTTGTTTTGTTTTTGTTTGGAGACAGGAGTTCCATGTGTGGCCCTGATTGTTCTGGAACTGACTATGTGAACCAGGCTGGCCTTGAACTCACAGAGATCCACCTGCTTCTGTGTCCCAAGTGCTGGGACTAAAGCTGTGCACTACCACCTGACTGTGCATTTCTTAAAGGCAGTGTGATTATACAGTTTTAGAAACAAAGTTATCATGAAGTGGATAGGCATGGGTTGAGAATGGTTCTGTGGGTGAAGTGCTTACCCTGCAAGCATGAGAATCCGAATTTGGATCCCCAGGATCCATGTAAAATGTGGGCACGGTGATGCATAAAGACTGGGATGCAAATCTCCAGCATCACATAAAAAGCCAACCTAGCCGGGCGGTGGTGGCGCACGCCTTTAATCCCAGCACTCGGGAGGCAGAGCCAGGCGGATCTCTGTGAGTTCGAGGCCAGCCTGGACTACCAAGTGAGTTCCAGGAAAGGTGCAAAGCTACACAGAGAAACCCTGTCTCAAAAAAACAAAACAAAACAAAACAAAACAAAAAAAAAAAAAAAAAAAAAAAGCCAACCTAAAACCCTGGCACTATGGGGATTTGAGACAAGGGGGTCATTAGGGCTCCTGCATGCCAGCCCAGCTCCAGACACTTATCTCAAGGGAATATAGAGGGAGTAACAGCCCTGAAACAAGACAACAGCCTCCTCTGGCCTCCAGGCATACACACACACACATACACACACACAAACACACACATACATACACATATATACACACACTGTATCACACACACACCACACACATACACCATACATACACACACTACACCACACATACACCACACACACACTACACCACACACACACACACCACACACATACACCATACATACACACACTACACCACACATACACCACACACACTACACCACACACACACCACACACATACACCATACATACACACACTACACCACACACACACCTACACCATACATATACATACTACACCACACATACACAAACGCACATCACACACACACACATACCACACACACACCATACATACACACACTACATCACACACATACCACACATACACACTACACCACACACACACACCATACATATACACACTACACCACACACACATGCACACACACACACACACTTCCAGTAGTAAGTTTTTAAATCTGTGTATTTTCATCAAGACTACATGAAAGTTCACAGTAACTTTATTCTTAACAGCCCCAAACTGAACATAATCTAAAATCCACCAATGGTAAAATGAATTAAATGCAGTATATTCACATAATGGATCCCGTCAGCAATAAACAATCTATAAACTAGTGGTATATTCAAACATGGTTGAATGTTAACAATACATTGAGTAACAGAAAGCAAACAGAATAAAGCACATGGCTTGATTACAATTATATGAAGTTGAAGAATGGACAAATAGCAAGTCCGAATCGTGGTTGTGTGTGGATGATGGTACTGGCTGCAAAGGGCCAAAGGGGAACCTGGAATGTTTTAAGGGTCCAGATCTTGGCCTAGGGGCTAATTCCTTTTCTACTCCTATGCAGACCTTTACAGACCTACTCCTATGCAGACCTTTATTGTGGGTAAATTGTGTATTTTAAGGAATGAATAAAGAGGGAGTAAAACAGAAAGAGAATGAAGAGAGGGAAAGGCTCAAAAGGGAAGGGCTCAAGCAATGCCTTGCATTATTCTATTGAGTTGATGTCATCAAACATATCCGGAAAATTATACTTGCTCATAATTTCAAATATATTAGAATTTCACGTTGTCAATATTATACTCTTCCATTGTTCTTTAGCTGTATGAGTGGGTTTTGTTGCAGGTACGTTCATGCACCACGGTGCCTGCGGAGATCAGGAGGCATAGGGGACCTCCCCCCATGAACCCTGGAACTGGAGTTAGGAATGGCTGTGAGCAAAGTGGGTGCTGGGAACTGGCATTTGCCCTTAACCGCTGGGCCATTTCTCCAGCCCAACATCCTGTTCCTAAATATTTTAAAGCCTCCCTTATAAAGACATGCTTAAATGTTCTATCGATAACGGAGAGGACGGGAGGACGGAGGGGGGGCAGCGGCTGAGTGCGCACGGTCTGGGAGGCAGTTGCCTGCATGACGTCACAGACTGGAAGAGGATGCCGAAGCCCCGGTGTGCGGTGTGCAGGGAGCCGGGGCCGCTGTCCTCCGCCACCCTCTAGAGCTCAGGCCTCCTGGAGAGGCCTGGATCACCGTGCCGGACCGCTCCAGGGTGGAGAAGGGCTCGTCCTTCCTCAGACCCGGGCCGGGGGCGCGTCCCCACCGGAAGTGCGGCTACCACCCAGGCTAAAAAAGCGGCCTGGATGACGCAAGGCTGCGGCGGCCTTCTCTCTGAAGAGAGAAGGGAAGAGTCCCGCCGAACCCGAGCCCAGCTGTGTCGTGCTTATTACTCACTTACAAACCCCAAACCGTCAGGGTTTGGAACCGCTCCCAGGTCCACGTCAGGCGGAAGCAGGTGTGCAGTGGGCGGGGCGGCGGCGGCGGCGGCGGGCCCTCACCTGCGCGCGCAACCCCGCCCGGTGCTGGCGCGGCCCGGCCCGCGCGCTCCGGTCAGTATTTATACGGCGCTATTTTGGTCGCGTTCTCTGATTGGCCAGCCGGGCGTGGCGCCACGCCCCCTTGCGCCTAGAGGTGGAGGCCAGCTTCGCCGGACGTGAGCTTCCGGCTGCCGGGTCGGGCCCGGCGGTGCGGCTCCGCTGTACCTTTCTGGAATGTGGGGCGGCCTCCAGCTACCGAGCGGTCTCTTGGTGCACGTGTTGCCCTGAGAAAATCTGTGTGATCCCGGGGCCTGGCTCGAGCCAGACTCGCCCTTCTGGGAGCGAGCTGCCAGATGGCAGAGACGGGAGACAAAACTTACCCAGACATGAACCCAGAGCTACCTTAAATCGTCTGCCTGCGGTTTTCTGCCATCCAACTTGGCCCTTTGCTAAGACAGGCGTCTAGTCTCCCCTGGCCTCAACATCAGGCAGCTGCGAGTCTTTCCAATTCCCTGGCCTGACATGGCATGCTTCGCTTAGACATCACAAAGTGCTCTCATTTCCACGCAGTGCTCAAAGCAACCAGGGACTTCCTTCCTGGTGGTGGTCTGATTCAGGCCTGTCCATCAATAGGCAGCATTACTTCTCTGAGTATCAAGACATGTGAATATCTTTCCAGGACAGACAGGTTTCAAAGGTTGATGAGTTATGGACAAATCGAAGCACCCATGTGATTCACCAGATATCCTTAGGATACTTTTAAAAGCTGGCAAGATGGCTCAAAGGGTAAAAGCACTTGATGCTCAACCACGAGGACCTAGGTGAACCCCCAAACTCCACGTTTCTGTTACCTGTGTCTGTATGCCAGAGCTCTGAAGACAAGACAGAAGAACCCTGGAAAGCTCCAGAATCAACTATCCTGGCATAGGCACCTTAGAACAATGAAGAAACCCTGTCTCAAACAGGTGGAAGTGAAGACCTACCTACCCAGGAGGTTATACTCTGATCTCCACGTGAGCACCTCCATTCACATAAATGCACACAAGGTTATTTTTGTTTTTGTTTTTAAGATTAAAGAGGCTATCGAGTAGCCTCCACTATATTGGATGGGAACTTCGCTTTAAAGACATTGTGTTAAGGAGTTTTTCTTCCTCAAAATAAGGACTACTGCACTGGGGAATAGAGCAGGTTAGGTCCTTGGGGATCTCCTGAACACAGAACCTTGAAGATCATTGCATTAGAATGCAGAGGGGAAATGTTGAAGAACAATTCAGGATTTAGAACTGATGAGTATACAACATCTCTAAAAATTACAATTCTTGGGGCTGGAGAGATGGCTCAGTGATTAAGAGCACTTGCTGTTCTTCCAGAGGACCTGGGCTAGATTCACAGTACCCACACGGTGCCACACAACCATCTATAACTCCAGTTCTAGGGGCTCTTATTCCTCTTCTGGCTTCCAAGGGCACTGCACACATATGCTATGTAGACATACATGTTGGCAAAACATCCATCCACATAAAATAAAACAAAAACACCATTCTTTATGTACTTCAAAAGTGCCAAGAATTATGAATGTTTAATGGCCATTTCACTTCACTCATAAAACAGATATTATTGTGTCCCTTTCCCAGTTATAAATTTCATGTTGATATGGTGCTGTGCCAAGGCCTTTTGACTCAACGTACCTTCAACTACTAAGATGTGATTTTCTTTCCTGGTTGTTGTTGTTTAGTTGTTTGGTTGGGGTTTTTTTGTTTGTTTGTTTGTTTTTGTTTTTGTTTTTTTGAGACAGGGTCTCAGTACTAAGTAGTTCTGGCTGTCCTGGAACTCAGTATGTAGACAGGCTGACCTTGAATTCACAGAAATCCACCTGCTTCTGCCTCCCAGGTGCTGAGTTCAAAGGTGTGTGCTACCACACCTGGATGTTGTCTTACTTTTTATGTCATTGCTTGGATTACAAATATCTAGTTGCAGGCTAGAGAGTTGGCTCAGCTGGTAAGAGTACTTACTGCTCTTGGAGATGAATAAGATTCAGGTGCCAGCACTCAAAATGGGCAGCTCACATTAGTCTCAATGTAACTTTGGGTCCAAGGGCTACATTTGCCCTCATCTGGCCTCTTTGGATACGTGCATTTAATGGCCCACATACATGAGCATAAAATAAAAAACATTTTTAATCTTTTAAAAACAAAACAGGTATCTAGTTTGCTATATGAGTTTAAAGTTTGATTTGTGTTTTAAAGACATTGTACCTCGCCAGGCGGTGGTGGCACACGCCTTTAATCCCAGCACTAGGGAGGCAGAGACAGGCAGATCTCTGTGAGTTCGAGGCCAGCCTGGGCTACCAAGTGAGTTCCAGGAAAGGCGCAAAGCTACACAGAGAAACCCTGTCTCGAAAAACCAAAAAAAAAAAAAAAAAACCAAAGACATTGCACCTCTTGAAATATTCTTTTCAAGTATTTATTTTCATTTTATGAGTATGAGTACTTTGCTTGCATGTGTGTATTTGTACCACATGCATGCCTGATGCCCTCAGAGGCCAGAGGAGAGCATCAGATCCCCTGGAAATGGAGCTACAGAGGGTTGTGAGCTGCTGTCTAAGTGCTGGGAACTGAACCCGGGTCCTCTGAAATGGGAGTAGGTGCTCTTAACCACTGAGCCATCTTCTCTCCAGCCCATCCTCTCTGTCCAATAAATAAATAAAAGCATCTTTAGTTCTGTTTGTTTGCTTGCTTGTTTTTTGTGAGACAGGGTTTCTCTGTGTAGCTTTGGAGCCTGTCCTGGAACTCACTCTGTAGATCAGGCTGGCCTCAAACTCAAAGATCCTCCTGCCTCTGCCTCCCGAGTGCTGTGATTAAAGGCGCATGTCACCACCACCTGGCCATCCTAATTTCTTAGAGTAGCTGGTGTCTGGATTTGGTAAAGTAAATCCAGACCCAAACTACAAGGTCACCTTCAGTGACCACCTATTTTCTACTAAGTGACAAATTATTCCCTGGCCTTTATCACAGTGGCTTCAGTCACTATAGAGGTTACAGACCTCCCTATACTCTGTTCAGAACAGCACTGTGGAAATCGGAGATTGAAGCCACGGGGTCTTCCTTTTCTCCTGACACTGTCTTCCTCTGCTCTCTTGTCTTATTTACCTGGAAACTAAGGCCAAGGCAGGTACAGTAAGCACTGAGATCAAGAAGACATCTGTCCCGCTGCTGATATAAGAGAGGGAAATTCACTGACAGACCATATTAAATCTGCAGACAGAGTTTTAAAAAGATCTTGATCTTCTGTGTTCACAGCTTTGGAGACGGAGTTGTTTGCAGAGTGACCTCAGATCTGCTCAGGATTAGGAACTAGGAAGCAAACGGGTCATGAGAACGACTTTTAAATATTCTTCTGTGCTTTCCTGCTGCTGCCTGACAGAGGCTCTGAGTTCTGACTACAACAGAGAAGGCGAAGGCGGGAGCTGCCTGGAGCAAGGCCTGTGTTGAATCCCAACCTCCTTTCTGCCTGATTTTGTGTGGCTTTCCAAACCTGAATTTCCATTTCCTTATCTGTAACTTACTTTACTGAAAAGATTGACCGAGACCTTTGACGCTCCTAAATTAGGGAATGACAGGAGTCGGCACTCAAAACTGTGAGCCCTCCTTCCTGCCCCTTCCCCTGGACGATGACGAAGAAAACACCTCCGAGTCGTGATGACTGTATCTTTACTGCTCCTTTGACAGAGATGCAGTCATTGATTGTGCTGGTTTCAAAGCCAGGCAGCAATTTGCAGTAAGGCCGGGTTACCATCATCCGTTAATTCAAATGTCCTTACCGAAACTTCAACACATATCAACCTAACTTCCAAATAGCAGCTTTAGACTTAACTGTCTGCCATTCATTTGACAGGTAGTTTTGGAAAATCTATCAGGCAGAAGACATTTGGTATTTTCAATTAAAAGTTGTATCACAGTTGTCTATCGCTGCGAAGAGATTCCAGGACCACAGCAACTCTTACAAACAAAGGGATGGCTTACAGTTTCAGAGGTTCAGTCCATTACCATCATGGTGGGAAGCATGTTGGCACGCAGGCAGACATGATGCTGGAGAAGGTGCTGAGAGTTCTACATCTGGATCCACAGGCAGCAGGAAATGATAGTGATACTGGGCCTGGCTTGGACTTTTGAGACCTGAAAGCCCACCTCCTGTAACACACTTCCTCCAACAAGGCCACACTTCCTAATCCTTCTCAAGTAGTGCCACTCCCTGATGACTAATCATTCAAATCTATGGGGGTCTTTGGGGGCCATTTTTATTCAAGCTACCACAACAATTATCCTTTTATTTGCACCTGTTTATGTGTGTGGGCTATGGTGTGTGTTTAGAGATCTAAGAACAACTTTTGGGAATTGGTACTCTTCTTCTACCATGTGGATCCCAGGGATAGAACTCAGATGGGGGAGCAAGTGCCTTCACCTGCCGAGCTGTCTCACACACCACATTTGTCATTCTTTTTTTTTTTTTTTTTCAAGACAGGGTTTCTCTGTGTAGCTTTGGAGCCTGTCCTGGATCTCACTCTGCAGACCAGGCTGGCCTCGAACTCAGAAATCCTCCTGGCTCTGCCTCCCGAGTGCTGGGATTAAAGGCGTGAGCCGCCACCATTTGCCATTCTTTTATAGAACTTTATGAAAACATTTTAGCCAGAGAGCCTCGTTGACGAGCAGTCATCAGGAAAATAAAGGCCACCTTTATGGTAATACTGTGTTTTCTTTCTTTTCTGTGGTTCCAACCTCACAACGCTTCATGAATATGACTCAGCCAGGCAAGAGTAAATACACACAAAAGAAATAAAAAATTTACTAAGAACAAAACACAAAATAACAGAACAGGAAGCAGATTTTAACAAAAAGTAAAGATGTTCTGTTTAGTATAAATATAAATACACACATACACACTTTAGAGGATGTCTTCCCCCCTTCAAAGCTATTGAAATTTCTTGTCAATTGATTTTGCATAAGAGACATAAACGATTATTTTCAACGCTGCTAATCAAAGGGAAACTTAAGTCTTTCAAGTACCAAATTGTAAAGCATGCAGTGTATATGCGTGGGCATGATGAACACTGGGTGGTAGTGAAGTTACTAGCAAACTTTATGAACTTGAGATCAAGCTTGTGGTGGTTTGAAAGAAAAAGGCCCCCAAAGGGAGTGGCACTATTAGGAGGTGTGGCCTTGTTGGAGTAGGTGTAGTCTTAGAGGAAGTGTGTCACTGTGGAGGCATATATGCTCAAGCCACACCCAGAGTGACAGACCACTTCCTGTTGCCTGCCTATCATGATGTAGGACTCTTAGCTCCAGCACCATGTCTTGGCTGCACGCCACCTTGTTGCACTATGATGATAATGGACTAGACCTGTGAAAATGTAAGCCACCCCAATTAAATGTTTTTCTTTTATAAGAATTGCCGTGGTCATAGTGTCTATTCACAGCAACAGAAACCCTAAAACAAAGCTAACCTTTAGTTCCTCCCTATTTATACTCCTTTCAGACTGTGCCTTGTCCTAAGTGACTCCATTTCATAACAGCAGTTGACTCTGTTGTGAGTATAGATGCAGAGGCAGAATGACTTTGCATCTTGCTTGTGTAAATTAATAGTCACTGTCTGTCCAGTGCAAACCATGAGGAACAAACTGATAAGATATTTACACAAATAAAAAGAGCACCAGCTATGCATTTATCAGATTAAATCAAGAACACATGGGTATATCAAAACCATATCAGGGAAAAAAAAACTGGCCAGTGAGTTTATTGAGCAAATCATGCCAGTTAGCATGCAACCCCCTCAGCTGGACCTTATAAAAGGAAGCAGAGCTAATACTGGTTACGTTAGCACCCACAAGCTATCATCAGACCATATGGTGCACAGGTCATTGGATCAACAAGGGACAAACTTCCTGATTGTGGGACTTCAGCTGAGCTGACCCCTTCCCCTGCCTGACTTATGACTACTTGAATTGTGGTTGGTGTAGATCCAGTAAGCCTGGAGCCAGCTCTGTTATTGGGTCTTATGTTACTCAACTAACCAACTGCAGTGACCCTCAGCTCTCAATTTTTGTCTTCAGGAAGCCCTTTGAATCCTTCAACAATGTTTTGTTTTTACAGTCCCACTTTGTGACTCTGGCTAGTCTGGAACTCACTATGTAGACCAGGTTAGCCTTAAATTTATACGATTCTTCTACCTGATTAAAGATGTGTGCCACCATGCCTGTCCACCGCCAAACAGTTTTAATTAACCATTTTTAGCCATTTTGTGACCTATATACTATTGTGTGGAGTATGTGTGATCTCAGAGTGAATATTAGTAATTAGGATTAGAATAAAAGAATCCATTATTGTCAATGGCCATAAATACTAAGTGAAATCAGGAGTACTTGGTGAGTTAAAAGTCAACAAAACTGATGTACCTTTTGAATTTTTTGTTGTTCTGACATTGTGGAAAGACAAACATGCTCATTTATATTTCTGACATTGCTTAGTCAGGACATGTGGTGATGTATTATGTCCCCAATAAAGTTTATCTGATGATCAGAGGAAAAAGCCAGCCACTATAATAAACAGAGGCCAGACAATGGTAGCACATGCTTTAATCCTATCACTCAGGAGGCAGAGATCCGTCTGAATCTCTGTGAGTTCAAGGTCACACTGGGAGCAGAGCCAGGCGTGGTGGTACATACCTTTAATCCCAGCACTAACCATAAAGGTCTGGAGGTCTATACAGACAGACAGGAAGTGACAGAGCTGGGCAGGAAGAGGAAGTGATGTAGCTGGGTGGAGAGAGGAAATGAGATGGCAGAACAGAAAGGCATATAGGCGTGGGTATACAGAAAGTAGGTCTCTTTGGAAGCTGAGGTGTCGGTGAGGTGAGGTTGGTTGTGCCTTGTCCTATTTCTCTGATCTCTCAGTTTTTCACCCCAATATCTGGCTCCGGGTTTTTATTAATAAGACTGTTTAGCAATTTGTCTTATAAGGGCACAAGTCAGTATCCATTGGATCTGGGCTTTACTAAGGCACACACATCTGGGAAGGTCTGGGGGGTCTGGGAGGGTCTGAGAGGGTGTTTACAGGGAGGATTAAAGGTGGCCAGAATAAAGAGGTCAGAGGGAAGGCAGGGCTTTGCCTTGTCCATCTTTGCTCCCTGCTGGTCAGTGCATCTATTCTGTTGCTGCATCCTTCACTGCCATAGGAGCCCAGTTTCTTAGGTCTTATAATGTGGGCTAAAGATCAGGGACTTTAGTGCCAGATTGTGACAGAGGTATCCATAGACTGAGCAGCTACTAGAGTCTCGGCCTCTCCGACATATAGACCAATCTAATAAACATAATATTCCTAAGAAGTATAATATAATCCAATCTAATAAATCCCCCTCCATGTAGTATATATATACTCATTCTACAAATTCTGTCCTTCTAGAGAACCCTGACTAATACAATATCTAAATATGTTTTAAGTGAACTGAACAGAAACATACAAAATACTAATTAGTTTGAATGTAAGTTGAATAATTGTTTCCTGACTTAACCATGTGACTTACACAACATACATTTAATACCTACATGCTTATTTGGACCATTTGATGTCATCAGGTGAGCAGCCAATTCACCAGAAAGAAACGAGACAGGCTCACACCTTTTAGACTACATTAACGTAACCTCGAGTTTTAGCAATCTTGCACAAAATTTGTATTTTAGTGATGAGAAATTAGCATCCACCACATAATAACTGACAAATTAGTAGCTACAAAAAATAGTGACTCAAACAGAGCATGAAATAAAAGATGCTCGATGCCAGCGTGTCTGAATGGAATAGTCTTGATTTTCCTTATAACTCGTGTCCTTGTGGGCGGTGATTTGGGGTGTGATTGATTCAGGTTACTTCGTTCTTGCCATTGCTCCAACCAAGCGCTGCTGTTGAAAGCCTGCCCTTCCTCTAACGCTTCCCTGTTGCCCCAAAGAAACAACTTTTGTTGACAAAACGGAGAAGTCAAATAGTGGTGAAAGCTTGCTTGGTTTTCTCCTAAAGAAAAGGACATAGCTTTCACCTTAGAGCTCAATCTACATTAATTTTTTTTCAAATTTCCTGTGTTTGTGTATGTGTATGTGTGTACAACTTTCGGGAGTCACTTCTCTCTTTCTACTGTGAGGGTCCCTGGGGTTGAATTCAGGTTGTCAGGCTTGATAACAATGCCCTCGCCTGTTGGGTCATCTTGTCAACCTCCAATCTACATTTTAAGTAGACTCCTTAGAAGCATTCATCCATCCTATAAAGAATTCTTGATCTTTTTCTACATCCCAGGTACATACAAACAATTGTGTCTTGTGGCTCATGCTACAGAAGGGCAGGGATTGCAGTCTAGTGGGGATGAGAGAGACAAATAAACAAAGCACACACGGGAAGAATTCAAGTCTATGTACAAAGTTGAAAGGATGGAGGAGGCAATGGAGATGATCGGCAACACCATGCACAAGGCCTTAGATCCTGGAGTATCTGTGATGAAGCAATCAAACAAAAATCGCTTCAGGCCTATACTAAAAGGAGTTTTACCTCATCCTGAAGGCAATGTGTTATCAGAAAGGCCACTTCCTGGAGACAGCTGACTGGCTTTCATGGTGGAGGACCGGATGTGGTATACAGGTCTCCAGGGTAGTACTATTGTCCCTAATACCTTCCCTTTGGTATTTCTGTTTCTTTGGTTTTCCATAATGTACTTTGCTCTCTACCTTAGGACTAGAACTTGAGGTAACTCTGTGGGACTTGAGGGCATTCATTCGGTGAGAAATCACTGTTCCTGAAGAGAAGAGCAAGCAAATGCACCAGCAGCACCAGGGATAATTATCACATTAAATACATTCAGCTCCAATACATGACATGCATTCTTGGCCTTCTGTCTAAGAACTGCAAGTTGGGAAAGATGAGGCTCTCTGTCGCCACCTCTCCAAGAGCTTCACTGAAGGCTCTAGCTGTGGAGGTGATACTACAGAATACCACAGTCACTGAGGGGGCACACTAACACTGTTGATTATACAAAGACAGGGTTCCTTTTAAAAAGATACATCTGGCAGCCCGGCAGGGGCGGCACGGCGCTCGGAGCCCCGCGCCGGCCAGTGTGAGAAGCGGCGAGCAGGCGACGCCGCTGCAGCTGCGGCGCATCCCATCTCCGGGCCGTGCGTGGACTCGCTGCCGGGAGCCGCGCCCCAGGTCTTTGGAAGTAAAGATTCAGTAGCTTTGAACTTTAAAAGGCGCTGAATATGGAGGCACCCATCTGTCATCCCAGCACTCTGGAAGCTGAGGTATTTTCTACAGAAAGAAAACAAAATTGATACCTTGCATCCTGGAAGTTCATTTAGGAATTTGAAATTAGGGACTTCTTTCAAATTTGGACATGGCTAATCGAGGAGCAACAAGACCCAACGGGCCAAATACTGGAAATAAAATATGCCAGTTCAAACTGGTACTTCTAGGAGAGTCTGCTGTTGGCAAATCAAGCCTGGTGCTTCGCTTTGTGAAGGGCCAGTTTCATGAATTTCAAGAGAGTACCATTGGGGCTGCCTTTCTAACCCAAACTGTGTGTCTTGATGATACAACAGTAAAATTTGAAATATGGGATACAGCTGGCCAAGAACGATACCATAGCCTAGCACCAATGTACTACCGAGGAGCACAAGCAGCCATAGTTGTGTATGATATCACAAATGAGGAGT